TAATATAGACATTCCTATTGTCTTTTTATACTTTTCTCATATGTGCTAATTATTACATGCGTATAATAACAGGTATTATACGTGATTTTTACACTGACCTGCGCCGAAGTTTCGGCCGGGTTGTACCGGATGTGGCCACGACGAGACTGAAGCAGGAAGTCTACGCCTCTTTATCCGAGGATGAATCTTCTTCCACCCTCAGATTTTTGATCCAACTATCGTCACAAACAACACTAACGATGTCCCTATTCCGCACATGAGCCGAATTCTGGAGATTTACCGATTGCGAAAAAAGAGGTTGCGTTTTAGTAAATACTGGATTCCACGCTTGTGACAATTTATATCCGTCTTCCCGATTGAAGATATTAGGGTGTTTCTTAATTTCAATCGCTTCACGCACTACCCTTGAACAAAAGTGGCGATCCGTTGAAAGGACTTGCGTACGCTAAAACTCGATCCAGTGATTTGTGCCTCTTTCTAGTAGGTGTTCCGCAATGGCAGACTTACTCGACGGATGGTTTTTGACAGCTGCTATATGTTCTTTAACCCTTTTCTCTATGGATCTCTTGGTTTGACCTATATAGGATATACCACTACAGCAGCAGTCAATTTTATAAATCCACGGCGTTGACAAAGGCAGAACATCCTTGGGAGTGCCTACGATGTCACTCACTCTTATACCTGGGTCACAGAGGTCGTATGTTCTGTTCTTCAACGAATTAACTACAGATTGCAGGTGACTGGGGTGATGATGAGATTTTGTGTTAAGGTATCTATCCGTGTGCGTTGGTTTTCGGTATACACAGTGTGTTAAGGACCCATCAGATGTCGCGGTTAATCGAACATCTAAAAAAGGCAACGATCTTTCCGCTTCAATTTTGTATGTAAACCGAATATTCGGGTGAATGGAGTTGAGAAGGTTAAGGAATTGATCTACTTCCTGTTGGCCACCCCTGATCACACTAAATACGTCATCTACATACCTCTTCCAAATCTTCATGATACTAGAGACAGATTGTAGTGCTTTTTCTTCAAAATACTCCATCCAAATGTTGGCAAGTACTGGGGCCACTGAACTTCCCATTGCTACGCCATCAATTTGAAGGTAATATTGACCTTAGAAAAGGAAATGTTACCCCGCAAACAGTGGTCAAGTAGCTCAACATAGTTGAGCAGCATCTCCTTGTCCGTTAGAATGTATTTCACTACGTCCAGGCTCCCCTTATTGGGACGTTGGTGAAAAGCGACTCCACGTCATCAGGTCTTACATTACATCTTCAGGTTCCAAATTTTGTTCTCTAATAATCTGGACGAAATGATACGAATCTGTAACAAAAGACGGTGTTTTTCCCACAAGTGGCTGCAATAACGACGCAATGTGGTTTGCAAGATCATAAGTAGGAGAAGAAATTTGACTTACGATCGGTCGCAGTGGCACATTGGACTTGTGTATTTTGAGCAGACCATAAAGTTTTGGTGGTTAATGTGCTTTGGGCTTATAGAGCTTCTCATACTCGTCTTCACTATATAGGTCCTTGTTCTCAAGAAGGAAGGCAGAACGGATTAGATGCGTTACTCTAGTATGTAATAATGCAGCGCGATAGTTTAAAAGTGAATGTGCTAATTATACCTGAATTAAAGAGTCGCAAGCCCGAGAATCACAAACATTCTTTTATTTCCGAAGGGAATTGTGCTTTCGGTGATACAAGGCTACAAAATAAATCTTCATTTAGGAAATGTCGCGGTTAATATTTGATACTATCCGTTGTACTACTGTTTAAGGTGTACATTAAATAGAGTATATCAACTGTGGCGCTAAAGATATTATTTTTTGCCATTCGTCATAAAAAAATACGTCTTACCCTCATAAAGAGCAACATAAAACACATGCTGGAAAAAAGTATAGCTTTGCAATTTTGAAGAAAAGACGATGAGGGTCACGATAAATATTTTTCAATTGACTACTCAATTATAATTCGTTCTCACTAAAAAGTAGCAAGGTTTTCTTTTTAGGGTTTTCGTCTAAGTCATAAAAATTCCCTTAGCGAGTTGCTCATTTAGAAACTAGCTGGATCTAGCAACAATGTCTCTAAAACGGCAACTCTGTCTCAGTTCGTTTCATTTTTATGAACTGGTAGCTGACCTTTCTAACCCCGGACCACCGAGTATGGGTATAGTATTTACCAGTGGGAAAGTATTATTTTTACTATTTTCTTCTAAAAACCTTTTTAGTATTTGAACGAATATTAAACAAAACGTCTAATTGGTTCAACTGTTATCTAGCTTTACGCTTAGAAACAATTTTAGTGATTATTTTCTTATTTATATAAATTAGTGCTCTCATAGAAAACAGAAAAAGAGATTGATTATATCGAAAGACTGACTTTAAAATTTTGTAATACTATTGTATTTTAAATTATCTTTAGTTCACGATGCTGCAGTTCATATTTATAAACAACAGTATGAGCGTCGGTTTCCTTTCCCCGGCAGCGCTACTGCAACATAAACCACTCTAAAGGTGCCGTTTATTTTACATAGATTTATTTATTCTTAGTGGGTGTTGTAGTTACTTTCTTATTTAAGTACCCTTTGAAACCTCAACAAGTAGCCTAAAAGGTGCCAGAAAGGAGCATTGCTGGAAAGATCGTTAGTATATGTGGTGAAAAAATATAAAATCTTTTTGATCGAGGAATCTGTTTGCAAATGTTTATTTTACTAATATGTTAGATTTTTGTCGGTGTTTTGTTCTTTGAATGAAGTCTCGGGTCTAAACCAGATAAGATATTTGAAAAAATATTTTCGTGTGTAGTCATTCACCACAGTGGTACCTACGGTAAATATTCTATTCCTCCAAGTCGACTTTTACGATTAAAATGCGATACTAGTGCTAATTTATGGCATGTGTACTCAAAGAGATTCAGTTTTATGTTCGGTGTACATACATAAATAAAGTACCGTTTTATACAGAGACAGATTTATGAGCTGACCGCTTTAAGATGAGTAAGAAACTCATTAGTGTGTTTTATGGAGCAACTCTTTTAATTACACTTAAATTGTTTCATTCACTTCGGACGGTCGAGTTCGTAATATTTATTTCTTTTCTATGTACCTACGCACAACATAGAACAGTTAAGAGAAAATTCTCCTTAGTTAATAATACTGTAGTGCCAAAATATGACTTATAAACACTGGATAATAGTGTCATTTTTGCCTAGACGTCGCTAGAACTAATTAAATGGTACTTTACACCGCTAAAATAACACGTGAAAGGCCTTACCATATATCTATGAATTGAATGACACGAATTTCATATTTTTTACATTTTTCTCCTACCGTAATAAATCAATATTTTATACTTCGTACAATTTTGAGTATTTCGTTTTCCTGGAGTCATATTAAAGCTGCGCTGTATCTGTTATTCACACAGACTGCATAACGACCGGACCGGTACTGTGGATTTGACTTTTGTATCAAAGTGAATATATTCTCTTTCACTTATTCCGAGTTTTCCACCTAGCTCGAAATGTCCGATGAAGTGATGGAAAATTCACAAAGTTTACGCTCTATTTGGATTTTTATATGCTTTTATTTAACTTGCAATGTAACATATTTGCATCGCAAGTTAGATCTTGTAATTATATTTTGGAGCAGTTATCCTCAACCGCTGAAATTTTCTATACGGGTTGTTTAGATAATGCATCAATAGTTAAAGTTCATAATTTTAAATCTAACATGGCGGTTGGCCTAATGCGTTATCTTAGTTTTTGTGAATTCATAAATAATGGGTATTATAATGAAAATATGAAAATAATAATTTCTATTAATAAATATCGTGAAGCAGCCAAGATGGCGGACTAGTTACCTACTTTTAAAGATATTAGTTTTTTATTTTAACTTTCAATTTATTTTGGGCGTTATGTTATATTTACAATAGCAATTGTGAATTAGTGATCTTTTGTTTACACGTCTCATTAATTTACCTATCTCTAAAGACTAAAATTTTTATTTTATTCTTTCAATATTTATTCACCAAACTTTAATAGAATCTCAGCCGGAAAATCCTATCTACTCGCCAAGATAACAATTGCGCCAATTCAGCTCTTTTTCCTTATTCGAACAACGGATATTTAATGTTAAAACGTTATGTTTTATATTTGTATAAATAATAAATTTTGTATTAATAATAAATTTTGGTAATAATAACATATTGCAACTGTTTTTCTACATATCTAGAGGATAACTTTGGAACTTAATTTATCAGTAAGGTGGGTATTCACACAACAGTGCGTTAGTTATCACAAACAATCAATCCTGAACTCTACTGGCAACGTTCTATCGCTCCTCGTATATGTATTAGATAGAGGTATTGCGGGATCCCACATCTTTTTTCCAATCCCGGGATTAATTGCGCGGGATCCGTGGGATTTGCAGGACTGGAACAAAACATGCTCGTGTCACTGCGCACTGTCGGACTAACTGAACACACTAAATAATTAGTCATAATTACATTCAGTTGAAAATGTTTTTGGTTTTAATTTTAATTTAGTAGTAATATACCTATTTTGTAGTTGAAAGAGTTTTTATTTATCTCAGTTTGCAGTGATACATAAACGTTATTATTTTATAGATCTCATGCTAATAATAAAACTTAAATATAAATGTGAAGTAATGTTGATTAAATCTTTGTTTTATATACCTTATACAACAATTTAATTGCAAATGTAATTAATTATTGATTTTTAAGATCATTACGTAAAATTAACGTTTTTTTTAACGTTATTAGTTGTGATAATGTCAAAGCATGCTTTTGTTTAATGTATTCTGAAGTCAATGACTTCTCTGCGTCTCTCTGCCGACTTTAAAGTGTTTGGTATATATACCAGGTTTTTTGTAAGACTCCAATAACTTTGCAAAACTAGTGTCTAACAATCTTGTGTTTTGACCGTAGTAATGCATTTAGTGATAAATTTTTATTAACTTTGATAATTTTTTGTTCACAGGGTGATTCTCCGTTCGGAAAATCCGAAGCTTATATTAAACTTGAGCAGCTCGGTGAGGGTTCCTACGCCACTGTATATAGAGGATATAGCAAGTGAGTATTTCTAACAATTTTATTTATATAATTAATTATTCAATATAACGTTTAGATATTCAGGATCCCTTCTGAAGTTAATGTTTAAATGTATATTCTTTCTTATTTAAGATAAGTTGTAAACAACTGTCAAACACAAATCACGGGATAACATAGAGATCGCCCAATTTAAGCAATTATATCCACTTATATACACTGATTTATACGTTTATACTTTCTTTTCCACTGAAAAAAGCTTGAAACTATCTTTAATAATAATATTTTTATTCAAAATCGTAAATACGACAATGTCTATAATCACAGACTAACTAGATGACGTGGAAGTTTGATATTTCTTAATAGGGAAGCGATTACATTAATGTAAGTATGCCTCGAAAAGGTGTCATATTTTGGTAGATTTGAAATAAACTGCTTTTTTATATTTTTTTTACCACAGTGATGTTCTTTTTTGTCTATTTGACAATATTAGTATTTTTTGCGATTAACTAGATTTTAACTAGTTTTGTTGTCGATAAATATTCATTTAATTTTCATTAAAAAATGTAATCAGGGACGATGACAATTTTTTTTATCTATGTGTCGTGTAGATTATTGAAGAATATTAAACACGTTAATCGATAGATTACAGTGATACATTTAGTTTAAATGTCACATGACGTCACGCTTTTGTAAATTTTCTATAAACATAATGCCTGTTATCTTAGATATTTCTTGTTAATAATCTTATTTATAAGATTTATCATCACTAGTTTTGAAAGTTTATCATTAACTCAAAATCAGTATCAAAATATTGCATATTTTCAATATGCTTGCGTGTATTATATTTTAAAACAATTTTATTTTAATGAATGCTAAATAATAAAAATAGACGTAATGGCTGGGAGGTCGCCGTCGCCGTTTGCTGTATATACTGTAGGTACTGTGAATAAAATATTTTGTAAAATTGAATTAGAGAAACGGTAAGTCACATTTAGATAATATTCTACAACATTATAAGCGAGAAATAATATAATCCAGAATATGATCTAACTATACAGTTTTATCTTATATCAATAAATGTTTATAAAAAATATAATTCAATGTTTCAAAGGTCAAATTTCATAAAGACGCCATATTTGTTTACTAGTTATCTCAAGTAAGAAAAAATAGACTATATGTATGTGAGTTTCTTTATTCCACCATAACTTTTGAAAGACTTACATTAATTTAAGCCTTACATCATCACGAGTAACACTGATAATATATATATTTTTAATATCCAATATGGCGGATGATGATGACGTCATTTAAAATATGAAAAATTAATATTTTTTTTGTCACCAAAACAAATAAAATTAAAATAACTAATTCAAAAAATAAAATACACGATTGCAAAAATTCTTTTTTCCTTTGATATAAATTTCATGGTCTACCATTTAATCACTAAATACATATTAAAACTAAATACCATCGTCCGCATCTGTTTGAATACGTAATAAATAACCCAAAATCTGTATTAACTCAAATCCGAAGAAGTATTGAACTCGCAAGAAAAGCTTAGGTGTATAATTAATTAAAGCTTCTTTGTAAATTGGATGAATAGGGAATATGCGTCTGATTCAAAAAAGGGTTAAATATATGTTATTACAATCGTTGTTGCTTTAGAATAAAGTCTACCTAAATATTTTTCAACATTTGTTCGTTTTTGTCTTGAAAATAATGCTACTTATCAGAGCGGATGTGACGAAAATGTACACGTATAGGGATGTCGTTGTTACAAAAAGTTAACATCGATGCAATAACATCAATGTATTATGTCGCCGAATAAACAACTGATTACATTTTTAAAGATGTTTAAGGCTTTTATTATTATTTCACCAATTTGGTTAATTATATGATTTATTTAAAAAAAGTCTATTATACTTTAAAAAATCGATTAGTTGTTAATCGACTTGGGTAATTGAATAATAATCAATCACTCAAAATCCATATTGATTTAAAATGTCATATCTCTAGTCGTGTACTTTGACATCACGACGAGCGAGCCAAAAATTTTAGTTTTTCCGTGCCGGGTATTTTTTTACAGTTATATATCGATGTAAATAATCAGAAAAAACCATACAGTGATATAAAATGTTGTTCGTGACAAATGCCATTTGAAGGAAAGGCACATCTTTAGTTACACAAACATAATGCATATCCATTACATATAATAAATAAGAATATGCCGTGAAAAAAATCAAATGATTGTTTTTGTCTATAAAATATATATATATAAAATATAAATAAATAAAATATATATATAAAATATATAGTGTAGCGAGATATTTATGTCCCAAGTTGTTTATTTTTGCCTTTACTATTTATTCACTGGGTAAAATAGTGCACTCTCTCTGACATGATTCCATATGCAAAGGCACTCTTGTTTTTTGTATTACTTTGTCCCGCACCAAGCTCTGCATATTTGCTGAGTCCAAAAACTCGGATAGTATTTATAAAGTTTTTTCTTTATTGCTCTTGCACGTTAATGTTAGAATTACTTTTGGAAAAATTAGCAGTGCTATATATTTTAAAGTGAAACAGTATGTAATATAATATATCAGACATGTTAGTTGTGAAAAACGTTGGGCTAATTTGTTTTCGTTTGTTCTTGTTTCGATTGCTACATGCAATGCAATGCAATTTTGTGATTCCGTATTTTTAGCAAATGGATAAACAAAAAAAAATTCAGGACATTATACGACACTTTCTAATTAAATTACGCTGAATATTATCGTTTATAACAGTTCATTACAAAGTCGCTGTTAAAGGTTTCTCGGAACGGTGACCCGGCCGGAAGGAAAATCAAATAACTAGAACTCGGTTCTCCTTGCCTGTGAATATTGAATTGTTGATTTTATAAACTGCTACAGATTTACCAGGAGTGTACTTAGAGTACAGATTGGTATTGCCAACTCAAATACGACAAATAATGTTTTTTTTTTCCCATTTCGACAGATTTTCGGTTGATAATTTGTCACACATACCTAATTAGTCAAGCTCTTTCCCTAATCTGTGTCTACGTGCAATGTGCGCATTACATATAAACGATTGTAATCATGACCTAAGGAAATTAAAAGCAATCTTATCGAGACAATATTTGAAGTATATCAGGTAAAATTTCTGAAAAATATTGAATTATCTGACGAGTTGCTAAAACAGAATGATTTCATACCTCAATTACGTGCCTACGTGTAATAAGCGCACAATGCTCAAACTCGTAATCGTAAGCTAGGGAATTTTATAGTGATTGTGAAGTTGTTACAATGCCGGGGCACTCGTATAAAATACATGAAACATGCTTAATTAGCGGATTTATGTTCGTTAAAATTGAACATTACCCTAATGATTATATCTAACAGATTTTGGTTGACTATTTGTCGCACCTAATTAGTCGCTCGCTCCCTAAATCTGTGCCTGCGTATAATGACCGCTCTACACCCAAACTGTCGTAATCATGACCCGGGAAGTTCATAGCAATCTTGGAGTTGTAACAATGGCGTGGTTGCCTCGTGTTTTATTTGATTTGAACCAACTTGGCCAAGGAAACCCTACCTCGAATCACAACCTAATATTTCTTAGTCCAACCTCTTTTTGTTCATGAATAATGTTACGAAGCAAGTTTGACCGATTTGGTTCGATAGAGAAAATTACTAGTGAATGTGGTTCGTATACCCATTTATAACTGTAATCACCGAAAATTTGGTAGGCAATAAGTCGTATACATTAAAAATGTGTTAGCAGTGCACAATTTTTTTCCTAAGGTTTCGTATTGAATATTTTTTTTAAATATCATATTTAAATTTATATATAATTATTTATTAACATTTTGTGAAGTGGTATTGTACAAACTGTATGTATGTTGACTAAAAACGGTCATCGACAGTAGGTGTATCATAATCGAATGTCTGTCCGTCCATTACTGAAAATCTTTAAACTAAGTTTAGATAGGATGAAACCAAAAAAAGTTGGTGATTTGAAAGAAACTCAACAAGTGTGATTATATCACAACTGATCAGCCTCCGAATGACACACATGTTTAGAAAATCTTTGCAAGTGCTGAAGTAACGATTTAAAAGTGCTTTTTTTATATATGTAGTTATGATTTTTCATGCTAATTATGTTTCTGTAGTTGTGTTTTGTTTTAACAAATCACTCTTCGCCACGTTTCCTTCGTTAGTGAACACAGCAGCTTTTTAGTTTAGTCCTTTAAATAGGTATGTAAAGTCAATTTAGATCTTTTTCAAAGCTTTAATGTTTTATCGTCAATTTACAATGATTAGTAACATTTATCTGTTATGGTTAACTCGTTAGTTTGCTAACTGTAATTAATTAATCACTTATAAATCTAGGTTCATTTTTAGGATAACATAAGAAACTCTCCCTCGGGTTTCTCTGTCTTTAACTTCCAATAACAACTCAGTCGTAACAAGAATTTTTGTCTTATTCTCGCTAATGTTAAATCTAATCGCTTCTTCTCGCTCTTTCTAGTGCCATACGGTACAAATACATAATTAATAGCTGAGTGAGTTGTGTTGATTGATGAGGACAATTTTATTGATCGATACATGTATAAGGGTGGAATATCTTTTCTTTTTTTACGCTTCAATGTTTATACAGCTTACTAGCTATCCGGCTTCGCCCACGTGGTCCTTCGCCCATGTAATGATTAGACTGCTTATTACCCAATGATATAGAAGTCTCTACCTTAATATTTTAAAATTTATAACGCACCTACTCAGTGTTCTTTTCAGTATAGAAACGTGGCCTTACATGCAAATTGAAAACTTCCAAGTTCTGTTTTCCGTACGTATATTACAAGCGTTTAATTACTTTAGGAATTTTTGGAATTGTGTCATTAATGTTCGGTCTCGAGTTGACGTACGTTGCGTTGAAAGGAAAGTTGTCTTTTGTTTACAGTGAATCTGCGGGGCTCGTCTCTTGTGTTTAACGGAAGGTTATGGGGGTAATGTTACGCTGTAGACGACGTGTATTTATTAATGCAGTCGGGAATTTGGGTAGCCTTGTAACTAGATGACAAATACTTGTTTATCATTACTTTAATATTTTAATCAATAACAAAGGTGTTCATGAGACTGTTTGACTGTATATTATTATCTATTTTAGAAAATGTTTAAAGGTGGAAAGTTTACTCGGCGTTTATTATGTGGTAGCAACACTATCTATAAGAAATATAATAATTAATTACATAACATTCATTGGATATATTTATTTGCTCTTACTATTACTCTTTAAAATATACTGTGCCGATAAACCGTAATACTTTTACCATACAAATTACAAACAATAAACAATAATAGTGCTCTAAATTTTCATGTGTCTAAAAGTAACTGTTTTCTCACACATTCTATAATTTATGAAAATTTATTCTAGATCAGAATGGTAAACATTTGACATTTATGTAATCAGGTTTGTGTTTATTGTCCAACAGTTTAACTCAGCAAGTAGTAGCACTAAAAGAGATCAGACTGCAGGAGGAAGAGGGTGCGCCCTTCACGGCGATCCGTGAGGCGTCGCTGCTGAAGGAGTTGAAACATGCGAATATTGTCACACTACACGACATTGTTCACACGCGGGAGACGCTCACCTTCGTCTTTGAATTTGTGGTGAGCTTTTATACGATAAATATAGTCACACTACACGACATATATTGAAGAAGATTTTTCGTGTTTGACGCAGTATGTGAACGCAGACCGTTATTGTTGAAAACAGTGGTCTAATTGTGTAATTTTAAAATTTGTCACAATCACTTAGAATTTAAATATTTGAAAGATATTTACAAACTTCATGCTATAACTATTTGACATGTGATAGCTATTGCGATCGATGTGTTTTGTTTAGATATTGAATGAACGATAACGTTTATTTGACGTTAATCGGAATTATCTAAGCAAATTGTTAGTTACAAATATCTTTGAGAGCTATTGGGAAATGTCTAACGAAATTAATTGTCTATGACATATATTATTCAAATCATCATTCGTTCCAAAAGCGATACAAAACTATACGTTTAAGGGATTGTGATAGATTTGAAAATTAGACAATTGGGCTACGGGACTATAGCGACAGAACCTGGCCGGTCAGCAACTCTTGCGCATGGATATATCGACCGAATGAAAAACTATGGTTTACTATAGGTACTGAACCCTAGAGGCATAACTACCGTGATCGTACGCTTTGCTTTCATACTGCTCGTTTAGCTGTCCCAGCGAACAACAAAAATGCCCGCTTTTACAAACGAGCTGAATATATTGTATATAACCCATCTGTCAATTTATTGTACATACTGTCTACATCAATTAATTGCACTGAGATTGAAAGACGTCAGCGTAGGGCGAAGTGGGAGGTAGTGAAAAGCGAGAGCGAGTGAGATTCAGTCACTTTATCGCGACATAATAAATGAAATAATTTTATTTTAAATGAAAAATGCTTTTTTTGCTTGCTTTGGGAGGATTGCCTGAACATTGATGAAAATACGCTCTGTGGTAGCGCTAAAGTAAAATGTCCTTGAAAAATTCATCAGTCCTGTTAGGTCCTGGGTAGCTCAGTGGTTAGAGCAGTCACCCGGATTGCGAAAGATCATGGGTTCCAGTCCTATCTCAGATTGCCAGGATTAAAGTGGATTTATTAAGCATTTTTCATTAAACAATTTTTTTTGTACTGATCAAAATATAAGCAATAATTTTATATATTATTTTTAATGTACAAAATTTCAAAGTCAAAGTGTGACTTGAAAAAGTAACCACATTAGACACCTCTTATGATAATATGAGAGTCTAAATTCAAATCAAATCTGAGTGAATATTCTTCATATTTCTCTTTCTTTTTCATAGTATATTTCAGTTTCTTTACCATACAAAAAATATTACACCTTGAAAATATTGTAGTCCTTTAGATTATTACAATTTATCTCATTTCTTTGAAATCTTAACTTAATAAGTTATTTAATTCAATAAAAATCGTTATTATTATAAAGAGGATGTTCACTTGTCGTCTACCTCTCTTTTGATAAGTGTTTTTTATGTTTTTAATTTGAATTTTATCAATTTTTGTTATTCTTTGATTTCTGTCGGGTCTTTTTTTCTCGCTATGCTGTGTTTTGTATTACATAAAAAAATGATTTAGTTAATTTACCTTTTAATAAAAATAACTTGCCACGTTCCTGTTGTCGATTACAAGTGTAGTAATAATTGTGTCTGAAATAACTTTATTCATTAAACTTGAATATTAAGCTCCACCTGTTTATAGGAGGATAAATTATTTTAATACTAGTCCATTTTTAAATTCTTTATTTTTTATTATTTGTAGTTTAATTTGTTGTTCAGGACACGGATCTATCACAGTACATGGAGAGGCATCCTGGTGGTTTGAATCACCATAACGTCAGACTGTTCATGTTCCAATTATTACGGGGTTTATCGTATTGCCACAGGAGAAGAGTGCTACACAGGTTAGTCGAATATCACCGAATATTATAGAAGCTATCTTTAATTATTTACTACTTAAAGAAACACTATATTGACCTTAAAGATAACTACATTTTTTCTAAGAAAAACAAATAGGTATTTTATTGGTGACGGAGAATGCAATGCATAGAAAGTGGTTGAACGCGCATTTATCAGAATAGAACGCCCTGAAAGAGGCGTAACAAAAGAGTTTTATAATTCCTTATAAACAAACTATGAATTATCTATCAATCACACACATGTACGCGTCGTGTCATCAGAATTATACAGTTTTAATTATTGAAATCTTTTGTTAATTATTGTAAAATTTTGTTTTAAATAATATAAATATAAGTATCACCTAAAAGCCTACCATTTTTGAAAACCCAAGTTATTAAAAAGCAACTGAATGCATATATTTAAATATAGCCCAGTATCTGGGCCCTGGGTCTTTTTAATCGACACAAGCTAAATCATTCTGAAAACAAAAAAATACCAAACATTAAAATTCTAAAAATAAACTGTAATCTTTTAACAACTTTTTTTTGTGAAATAGGGCTCTTTGTTTTCATAAACACGCAATAGAGGTTGTTATACTTTTATTGAATTGGTTTCTCTGAGAATTTAGAAAATCAATTTGGTGTACATAATCAGTTTCATGCGCATGTCTTTTTATAACCGCACCCTTCGGAATATTACATGGATTGCAAATGGCTTCCATAAACCAATTTTTTGATATTGTTAATTTTTTCAATGGGCATACGTATAAATATTTCTATTGTTTCAACAGAGACTTTATTTCAAGTACTATAAATCTACTTTAAAACATATTATTAAATCTATTTTAAAACATACTCAGTTTTATTATAAAACGAGGATTTACGTAAGTTACCAGGCTTATACTATTCCCCGTCTAAATCAACATGTCTCAATTTGACGTTCTCATTTCAATTTTGCAGCCAATGATATCAAATGGTGTCAAAGGTAATTTCTAAATGACTTACAGAAATTGAAAATTTGTGAGTAAAGCTTGAGCATGAGATTTATATCTAACGAATAATCTATGTTCCATTTTTAATTTAATTATAATTCTGTTAACTAAGGCAGTTGGCCCTGAATATTTTTTTTTATTTAATTCCAATTTGGAACGTTCGATTAGGTATGCAACCTCTTCAATAAAAAACACCTACAACTGTCTGTGCGTGGTCCCTTTACATTACGCGCAGTACCCATATTGCATCATAATTCCCGTAAGGCGATGTAAACGGGTACAGTTAAAGCAATAACTTGTTTAATATAGGCACGCGCTATCCTCCCAGTTACATAAGTTTCATATACGTGCCGGGCATAGAAAACGCGCCGGGGTGGTGAACCATTGTGTTTACATTTTACACTGCACACTCGTATCGATGCTAATATTCATTGTAAACTCCGTACGATTACTATATCGGTTGTACAATGTATTATTGTTTCTCGCGTTTCGACTATATTTATTTAGGCTACGTGAAAAATTTTAAGGGTAGGAATTCGCTGATTAGATTTTTGATTTTAATTTTATTATTAAGTGCTATCCGACCAGGTATTTTATTGATTAAGGAAAATAAAAATTTTGTTTCTATTTGTGCTTACATTTTGCAACAGAAAATTTTATATCATTCTTCCTCTGATGTCTACGGATATTGAAATCAAGCTCTTGTTAATATAGTCTTACTACTAAGCAGCTCGTATTTTATAATAAGAAATTCAAATGTTCGTTACTTTTTTCTTCTAACAGGGACGTAAAGCCACAGAACCTATTAATAAGTTCGCATGGTGAATTGAAGTTAGCGGATTTTGGTTTAGCGCGCGCAAAGTCGGTGCCGAGCCATACGTACTCACATGAAGTAGTCACCCTATGGTACAGGCCGCCAGGTAAGATTTTTATACTTAGCTTATAAACCGAATTACTATTACCAAATAAGATAGATATATACATTCGGCTGGTTTTGGAAAGCTTTTAGTATATAAATAGAAAATACAAACATTATTTTTAAATATGAAAGATTTATTTGCTTAATAATAAACAAAAAAAGCTTTCTAAATTAGGTGGTGCTGTTGGAATACAAACACTTTGTTCTTGTAGCTGTCATCACTAAGTCATGAAGAAATTCGTCTTTCGTCTGAAATTGTCCGCACTAGACAAAGAGTCCCTTCATTCCATTCGAATATGATTACACGTTACTTCAGAAGCAAACACTTAATAACCATATTATTTACTTTATTGCATGACTCTTGCAATAAAGTAAATAATATGTTTCTTCTATCAATATCCATTTCTATAATAATATGTTTCTTTTATTAATATTGATATTCATTCATGTTAAAGAGAACCACAAATATTTACCCTATCTTAATCCCTTAGCGATTTGTTCCATTTACATTAAAAATATTCCCTGACCTTTAAGACTAGCGTGTGGTGTCAAGTAGCCGTCTCATTTGAATTTTACCTTTCTTTCTAGGTCAGAGAAATAACATATACAGGTTATATACGTAAACAAATGTTTTTAAATCTGTCCTTTTAAAACAAACTAGATAAAAATATATAGCATGTTTTTTGTCAAAGAAAATATTCTTAACCTATGCCGTTCGTTTCATACTTTTTAGGATGGGACAGTTGCAAAAGAGAATTCATTATAATAATAAAAATTATACAAGACACATACTTTGCTCAGATCTGAAACTAAAGAGATTTGATTACCTGTTATGGTAATCTGAAAGGTACAGTCAGCGTCATAAATATCGAAGCTATCAACGTGATAAAAAAATTTCAAGTTAAATTTTATTTAGGCAACCAAAATTGCATATTGATCTAAGTACGCAGTTATCAAAATCTTGGTATCATTTCTTTAAATTTCTCTTATAACCAGCAATAGGCTTGTGTCCTACAAATGAAAATACAGCTTTTTGTTATATGTTCGGATAATATGAACCATTGAAATTTTATGACACTAATTTAGTAATATTACTCTTTGAAAATTTTAATAAAGTAGGGAAATTATACTACAATTTGCTTTAATACATGTATTAAATTGGTTACATAAAATGTTAAAATAAAACATAAATAACAAATATATTACGAAGATTGCCCAGGCGCCCATACGTTTTTCGCTACCTTAGCACTGTGTGATGTCACGTAGTGCCTTGAATTTGTAGGGAGCGTTTTCTTGCGACTAGCAGCAGTTCCACAAACATAACACTGTATCTCCGAAACTATTCTTCTTCCACATTATTTCACAAATATTAGTGGACAAGATAGATAGATAACTCTTTATTGTTAAAAACTAGCCTAATAGTTTTGTTCGATTTTATTTTACCGAAGTCGAGTCGAATACAGTCGATTAGAGATAACACCTCTAATCGAATTGTTAGTTGTTAGATAAAATTGAAGAAAGGAGCCAAGATTTATTGGATACTTTGTATACTTATATACTTTATCAAATGCGACTTTGGTTACCGTGATATAATTGGACTTCTGTACTTTTTTTTGATCACCTTGGGCGTTTCGATGATAATGACGCTGACTGACACACCATACATACAAACAATATGAATGTTATGTAACATACCTACATGTTTATATACATTTCTGTTAACCTATTCCAAAGTCTCGATTAAAATTAATTTTGTAAAAGCCATGTCTTACCTCATCTTTAGAAGGTCACTAATTCGACACTCGTCTAAAAATACAGACGCCGGGTTTGGATGAAAGTCTTCAGAAAAAAAACATATTTTAATATAAATTATATCCCTTAAAGTTTTTTCTTTGCAGGGGTCGTCTTATTTCCTTTTTTTTGTAACATAAGGAGTTTCCAGTGAAATGAAGTAAATTGTAGATTAAGAAAAAAATAATATTGAAGACGTATTTATTAATACATATTTACTTCTACTTTCTTATATTGAATGGAAATAAACGTCAGTTTCACTGAAATTATAAAACCGTGATCGTGACAAGTGAGTTTAAAATTGATGGTGAAAATTTATGAAAAATGCACCAGTCTGAAATGGAAATATAATTAGTGCAATGTCTTTTTCATAAAAAAATATTATGACAAATAACATTAGTAAAATTAGGCTGGACTTTCAGGTACCTCAGTCGATAGAGCACTTACGGGTTCGTTTTATCGCGAGTAACTAAGATAGTTATATTTAAGAATTTTTCTATAAGACTCACGACACAAATAATAACAGTATCTGTGTCGTGTTATTGTCTCAGAATTTATTTTATGTGATATGTGGTACTAGCTGTTGTCTACGACGGGCCGCTTTACTATTAATTTTATTAACGCAAACTATTTTTATATTTTAGTCAATAGAAAATGCTACGTTGAGTAATTTTTTTAGGGCATCAATTAGTTAAATTTTGTTGTTTTTTTATAACCTCTCTATTCTAGCCCATGACAAGCGATCACTGATTGAAACGAATCTAAATTGTCCTTGTCCTTTTGGTATAATTCTATAAACAGAATTGGTTAATTATAGGTCTTCTTCGCCTACGTTATTTGAGTACGAATAAAGACAAAATAGCACGCGTCTGCAAATACGAACTGAGTGATCGGCGATTGTGTGAACACGCGCACGGTCATGGCCAAACTTTCATTTGATAATTGTCTCAAAAACCTACAGTGGCAGTCATGCACGATTATGAACTCGGGGTTCATTCAAACACAAATTTAGAAGTTGAATCAACTTCGCGAATTTCCGTCTACCTAAAAAAACTAATGCAAAATTTTAATCATTTAGCACTCCTAGAAGCTATGTGTCTAAGATTTCGTTAGGAATGAGTGACCTTTCGCATTCATATAATTAAGTATTCGTTTGTTTAGATGTACTACTAGGCAGCACGGAATATTCCACGTCGTTAGATATGTGGGGTGTGGGCTGTATATTCGTGGAGATGCTATGCGGTGTACCTACCTTCCCAGGCGTGCGAGACACTCACGACCAGCTAGATAAGATATTCAAGGTTAGTGCTCATTATGTCTCGCTGCGTTTTCTTATTCAAATAAATATATTATCTCTTTAAATCTGGGTCATTAATAAAGCTATGAGCAGCTCACATTGAACCAATTAAAATATTGTTCCTATTAAACGCATTAGTTATAGCGTACAGTTTTCTGTTATAGATTCTGTTTAGATTGTAGTTAAACTTGGTTCGAAATTTATTAAAATTCACCTAGCTTCAATTTTATGATAATACGGTGTTGATATAATCCATGCGCGAAGAGCTCAATGGCGCAGTAGTCTCTCGAATCTCGAAACTCCCCTGTTCTTCAGAAGTCACGTTAAGCCTTTAGTTACGGCTGTATTTGCATTCGTTAACACTCATCAAATTTATTAAAATGTAAGTAGTATAAAAGAAAATTGTAAAATTAGAGATGCAGAAGTTAAAAAGAAACAAAGTATATAGGATAGGTATAGGCAGTAATCCCACCTGATGAGTCGTATGAGGAGAATGAAGGTACGGGATGTAGTAAATGCGAGAATTGGTATGAATGAGAAACTAGAATTTTAACATCCTACCACTGAGTCGGGAGCGATGATAAAAAAACCTCGCCAAACCCTACTAGGTTTACGTAGGACTATCATCTGTTCTCCATATTTAATTCCAACTGTAAGGATTACCTATCCCTTTCCAATTGGGGACAATAATAAGCTGATGTAGATAGTCACATGGGAATGTTAATTTCGGCCGTCCAGGTGGTCGGCACTCCCACAGAGGAGAGTTGGTCTGGCGTGAGCCGCTTGCCCGGTCTAAAGGCGCACGTGACCCGGTGGGGCAGCTGTCCGGGTCGGCCCCTAGGTTCGGCTTTCCCGCGGCTCCGCGATGGTGGCCGGGACGCGGAACGGCTCGCCGCCACTCTACTACAACCGGATCCGGCGAGACGGCTGCCGGCTCATGCGGCATTGCAGCACGCTTACTTCGCATCACTACCGCCACGGCTCAGAGACTTGCCCGATGGTGAGTTAGTATAAAAAAATATGCGAATTATTAGATATGTTACCGATTTCGATCTTTTAGCGTAACATATATTTTCCTAGAAACACATTAATTAATGCCTTTTCACCCTTTTACATCATACGGGAAAACAAAGCAATCTTTTAAAATCCTTCTCATATTATTTAAAAAAGTTCCTTTGCTTGACTTTGGAGTAACCGAAAAATATTATATGTATCTTAACTATAACGCAAAATGTAGTATAGTTTTTTTTTATTAAAAATAATAATACCTAAGATTAATAATACCTTAAATCAAAAATACTTCTATATTGTTGCAGAGGTCTCAATCTTCACGGTGGAAGGTGTATGCTTACACCCGGAGACGCGACACGCCGCCATCAAGTGAGCCGTTGCGCCGTAGAACGATTAGTTGAATCTGTTATGTTGGTCGTTTGTATGATATCGATGTGCGTCGGACGCGTCCGCCTTCTCAACTATATAGCTGTTAGGTGCGGACACTAATCCGTACACTTGAAAGAACTATTCCGGACGCTACATTCGGACATTAACTAAACAGCCGGGAAACAAGCGCCGCGTTCGATATCACACGATGTGTTAGTACGTTTCAATATTCCTATGTAGTATTTAATTGAAAGGTCGAAATCTGGTCGACTCGTTTTCGAAGGACCAACGTTTCGTGATAGTTCTCTCGTCTAGTTTAAAAAACACTCGAACGGGCATCGGATGCCGGCGACAGTATTCGTTTAATTAAATCCCCTCCCCTTATTGTTTGTCCAATCGTGGACTATTTTGAATATTAAACGCTTGTTAAGCTTTTAACGGAATATCCATCCATATAATTCAATTATTCTATGGTGACAAGGTAAACTGATAGGTATCGAGTGTACGAATTATGATATGTATAAATATTATTAGAACAGAGCAGTGCCATGTATATCTTATAACTGAATAAAAAAAAAACAAAGAGTATGACGTGTTATTTTAAAAGATTTTTATGCTGGATATATGCTCATAATTTTGGTAAAAATTTTAAAGATGTTTATTTATATATATTGAGAGATAATTGTCGATAAACTTTAATGCAGTCTTATGAAAGCTATACGGTTTTTACTCGAAACCTTTATTGCGAGTTTATGTCGAACGGTGGCTTATAAAATATTTGAAGCCTCCGTTCTCGATTGGACGCAGTTGAAACTCACGGTAAGGGTGATCTTATATGTATTTTAGCTTTTGTCTGAATCTTATGCACACATTCCTTCCACGGTGCTCAAATAGTGACATAGGGTGGTGAGATTTAACTGGTAGCCTAAAGCACGCTTGCTTAGCTCCACCGGCACGGCACATCCTCCCATGTGAAGCGAGCAGTGTACTGCTTCCAGTGATACGAAAGTGAATTGAAACCGAGTTATCTTTTACCAAAATTATTTTATCGTGTCAGATCTCAAATTTATATTGAAGTGTGGGACCGTCCTACTGTAAATTTATAACGTGATAGGGAATTCGATTCGACTATTATAATTATAAATAAATAAACTCTTTTTTTGTGGTGTATGAGAGATGACTAGAGTATTTGGAATGTAGATTCCGTCTAGACTAAAGATTAGTGAAATTAATCTGCTTAGTCAAATTTAGTGGTCCCCACGACTAAGGTTAGGGCGTGCATTATATAGTAAGGTACCGGCGCATTGGCAACATGACACATATAAGTCAAAAAATATATATATGTATTGAAATTTCGATATGCGATTTTTTTTTCTATGGATTCTAATATAAATACTGTCTAAAATAATTATGATCTGTGATTTGATAATAGTGCGTAGTTCTGTCGAAACGTAAACACCAATTTGTGCCAACATTGTAAAATAATCTCTTCAGTCTTAGTGTCATTTATCGAACATATATGGTAATATATTTGAATCCCTGTTTTGTACGCTCAGACAAAAATTGTTCCCATTATCTAGTCCTTAGTCATTTGGTCGCATGATTTTTCTGAACATACAAAATGTGACTTTATTACCGTACGTGAAGATACGTTTTTAAAGAACTATTATATATAAATGAGCAATACTATTGTAAGTGTATAGATAGACAAGATAAACCATAGTTGAATTATCAAACCGATTAAATGCCGTTTCACCATTTATTTGATTAAACTTTGGTTCTAAACATTTTTATATTTGTTAGGTTGATTCAGAGAGGTAGAAATGCCAATAGCTTTACAAATGTTAGAAATGGTTTTATGGCGCCCTATTGTTATCTTATCGCACTACATATACTGCCACTCGTCTACAATATAGGCTTTTTGGATAAAAATAATATCTACATTAAAACATAGTCTTAGTTGTCAGTTTGCGCCGGATAACTAGTGAGCGTAGATCGACTTAGCGTAGTTATGTGTACCGAGCTTTAGAACGTTTACATCGTGTGAGGGGGCCTTATAACTATATGTACATACGTTGTAGACTTTGCCGTATGTACTAGTTCTTTATTAATTTTCTTGAAAACATGCTTTATTTTTCATTTAAAAATTAGTATAATAAATAAATAGGAGATTTTTATGATTAAATTGAAAACAGGTTTTAGTAATGTACTTCTATAGTGAAAATCTACTTCTTTGAGATGAATTCTGAAGAATCTAGTTAGTTATTTATTGTATGTACAGGCTTCGTCGCATACGCCAACGCCCCCGCACCGTGCGTCGCGTAGAAATTCGGTAACGAACACCAAAATAGTTGTGTAAATTGTATAGTCTGTGAGATACGTACCTACATAATATTTTATGTGTACATGATTTGTTGAGTTTCGTATATGTGAATTTACGAACGGGGCGTCGTGAAACGTGCGTTTCGATAGCTCGAGCTTGAAAGATAATCTATCATTATAACTGCTTTATAATGTGCCCTGGGAATGTTGCGAGGTAAATTTTGTCGTTTGTGTAACGATACCGCGTAATCTAAGTGACAAGTTTTTGGTAGAAACAAAAGATTAAAAACTCTCATTTAAAAATAGATAATTATGACGTTATAATATATTACCTATATCATTGGATGCTCGCTGTTAATCTATCCAATAAATGTATAAAACATGATAGAGGCATGTTTTCGACTTACGGAACGGATTGTTCTGGCATTCCTTGCTAGTTACCAGGGCCCGGTCTACGCTATACGGTAAAACCGGAGGGTTTTGTCTGGTAGGCCAACTGCACTGGACCGCCGTCCCTTGCAGTTTGAGAGCCCCGGTTTAGTCGGCCTTTAGTCGAGGTCTATAATATGTTAAGATTAAAAAGGCATGTTTTCTACCTACATGATTGAAACATAAATAATAATAATACAAATGACGTATCATAAATGTAACTGACAGTATCTCGCATTCCACGGGTACATCATAATGCGAAACATTGTTAAATAACATTAATTAATAAACGTTCGCTTCGTAACAGACAATAATACATCAAAACTCCATGGTACACACAATAGCACGTTAGATTACCATGAACTGTTAAATTTCCGAAACGGCACATTTGTCAGTTCAGTGTAACACGATGGGCTGTTGTCTGTACATCGCTATGTAACGTACGTTTCGCGGCGCTACGCTTAAAGAGCGTTTTGTGTATAAATATCACCCGTTGAGTGAGGCACGGCGCACATTGTGCGAATTGTAACATAAAATATAAACGTTAGGGAAAATAACATTGAGCATTTAAATCAATGGGAATAGTAGAAATTCTATTGTATACATAATAATTTGCATTTCTATAATGAAGAACTGATGTTGAATCGCCGTTTGCTACATTAGTATAACGAATGAACGAATTCTGTATATAGTTACTATTATTAATTAGTTGTATCACTTAGTTCTGCAGTCCTATAAGTTGCCATTTACCGTTCGTATTTCCGATTATGGAGGTATTCACGAGATTTATTTTTTATTTTCTAACTTCTTATTATTATTTCTAAGATGCATTACATTTTATTATGGCTAGGTATCACGATTGTCCTACTGATGATTATAATTTTTTTTATTGATTTTTAATGTATAAACTATTGCTTTTATTCGTTCAATAAAAATGTAAATACGATATTTGAACTGATAATAATAAAAGTTTTTATTTCTTAATGAGAACTGTCTTTTTATTTGAACAAAACTGAATTACCTGCTTTAATTATAAAACCAAAAGTGTATTCATAAATAATTGGCTACATCCGTGACCAAGTGGCTCATACGTCGGTTTTAACATTTATTAAGTCGCGGGTTCTATTTCTGGTCGAATCACAATGTATAACAAGAACTATTCTGTATTGTATTCAATTCAATTTTCTTCAGCTTGGTTTAATATTATCATTTATTTAATAATAAGAATTGTTAAACTTTGAATACACTAGTCGTGAAATTGACTAAAGTTATTTAAATAAATTATAATATATCCTTGACTCGCCTCATTTAACTTATTTTTGTACCCCCTGGACTACAACCAAGCATCGATGCGAATAGTGTATTGAAATAATAGCTGATTAAAAATAAAATTAAGTGACAAGATAGTCGACATGCTTACTGCGTGTCATCGAAAACCGTATGCCAATTCTATACAACGTCTTCTAATCTGCAAGGATATGCTATCCCATTTGATATTTTCAAGTGGATATATCAACCTTGAAGTTTATATTAAACTTTTATGTATATATCACTAAACAATTGGAAAGTTTTCAATTTTTTTCTGTTTAAAATGAAAGAATAAGCATAATCAAAAAATACTGTGAAGAAGCTTTTTAAATATTTACATAAGTTGGTTTTTGAGCATCGCCTGCATCGTAAATTCGCGTTTTGTTTATTACTTGATGAAAGGCACTAAAAATATTCAATTATTAATGTATGATCCCTATTTACTAAAGTACAACTATAAAAAACCCTACTAAAATATTTTTAAACAAGGAAACTAAAAACTTTTTAAGTGTTTAATTGAATGAATCTACTTATAAAGTCTCAATATATTATGTAGGTCCTAAGCCTCAACACAAAACAGACCAAAAGAGGTACCTGGTAACTACATATTGTCTATGCTAATAATATTTAAATATGTATGATTTGACGAAGCTATAAGAATTCCAAGGTTTATCGACTAATACAAGCTCATTTACATTGATCGATAGTATTTGCATGCGGAGTGCGAACGATTTCTATGCTTATTTTCAGAAGGCGATCATTGGTTTATGAAGCTCATTTTCATTGGTCGATAGTACCTGCATGCGGAGTGCGGAACTTTTGTGCTTATTTTCATTAGACGTTCATTGACTCTCATTGGTTTCCTGACTAATGCAAACACATTTACGTTGGTCGATAGGGTGTAGGGAAACGGAGTGCGGAGATTTTCGTACTTATTTGCATTAGTGTTTGGCTGAATCTGAAAGAGTTTATCACTCGCACTATGCATGCTGTCCCAACGTATAAAAGTCAACAGTTAATACAAAAACCGCTAATGGGTTCGCCCATTAGCAGTTTTTGTTGCATCGTCACTCCCTATAAGGTAAAACGTGAGAGCAGCTCTCCTACCCCCTCTTCTCTTACCTGAGATATAGCACATTTACAAAAACCGCAAAAATTACTTTGTCATTCATACAAACACTATGAAAACACAACAAAAACAAAGTACATATTATAAGTAATTACATAAGGATTGGATATGTTCTAATCTAAGGTATTACAATTTAATATTTCTACGGAACCCTCGGTGCGCGAGTTCGACTCGCACTTGCCCGTAATTATACTGATTGGTATCTAAACAAGTGTAATAGACATTAAACGTAATATATTTATCTATTGAAGTGTAACAGTTTACTTAATAAACTGTCCTTCTTTTGAATGTTTAGCTGATATGCTTATTTCCTTTTTACTACTTAATACAAATCAATTACAAATTAAAGAAAAATATCATTAAAATTATTGTAGGTAC